GGCCAAAGAGTTTAAGCAGAAGCCACAACAGCAACTGACTGCTGAGTGACTGGCAAGGTATCAGCCTTTCTGAATTTTAAGTTGCAAATTTAGATTCTGTGTTAGTAAATGAAAGCTGTTCCAGAAACCAGCAGGAAATGAGTTCACTGCAGTCTTTCCTGCATAAATATTGGTTGTCATCAGCAGGAACTCTGGTAGTGCTCAGTAGAGCTTGGGAGTTACACAGGTATTCTAGCCATAATAGCAGTTTGCAGGGATATGGGGTACCATTTGCCACCTCTGTGACCTGGGTGCAGCTGTAAACAGTTATTTTTCTCCTTCTTAGTAGCTTCTGCAGTGCTGTGTTTTCACTTTAGTGTGAGAACAACGCTGCTAACCCACCAATGGTTTTAGTTGTTGCTTAGTAATGTTTACTCTGATCAAGGACTTTTCAGTCTCATACTCTGCCAGTGAGGAGGAGGACAGGAAGCTGGGAGGAAACAGACACAGGACACCTGACCCAAACTAGGGGTATTCCATACTACAGCACATCATGCAGAGTATATAAACTGGGGGGGGGGGGTCACCTAGAAGGCCCAGATTGCCGCTTGGGTTGGGCTGGGTATTGGTTGGTGGGTGGTGGGCAATTACATTGTGCATCACTTATTGTTGTTTTCCTTTTCCCCTTTTAGTTTTATATTCTCTTCCCTTGTTATCTCCCTTATTATTATTGGTGGTAGCAGTAGTAGTTTTGTATTATACTTTAGTTACTGGACTGTTCTTATCTCAACCTGTGGGATTCCCATTCTTTGCATTCTCCTCCCCATCCTTCTCGAAGTGGGGGTGAAAGAAGGAGGGAGGGAGGAGCTGTGTGTTTCTGGGTTGCTGGCTGGGTTTAAACCATGCCACTGGTCATCACTGTAGATGAAGCCTCAATTTCTAAAGCTCTTAGATTGGCACAAGACAGCACTAATTTCACTTGAAGTAATTAAGTGAAATTTATTGTTTTTTTTTTTTCTTCCCACAGTGGTATTGAACTTGAATCTGTAAGAGGTGTTCTTGGATTCATAACTAGTGTTCATAGGTTTATCAGGGCAACAATGATGCACTAGTTAATATGTTGCAAAAGTTTGTAACATCTTTTGATAATCACTGCTATTTCCCTATAAGGACAGATGTGTGCAAATACCGATTCAGGAGCTGAGCAATAGAATATCATAGCAAATATATTAAATCTTCACTTTCGGCTTTTATTGTGCTCACAGTTTTGTCTTAATACTGAAAATATCAGTTCTCAATTCCATTAAAAGCTACTTCTCTTATTTAAAAAGATATGGTTATGTTCAAGCAGATTACTTCCTGACACTGATAAATAGCTGTCAAAGATAGTTCCATGGTCAAGACTTATTACCAATTAATCTACTGTCTCTAATGAAACATGTATAGACTCTGAGGGCAAATGAGTCAGATGAGGGCAAATTGCCCATGTATCGAGGAGTTAAGTTTGCAGCTCTGAGACTTTTATCTCAAGATTTAGGTACTCTTATTATAATAGTTTCTGTATAATAGTTTCAAAGAGATTACCATGCAGGCTGTTCTCTTTCAACAGGCCATGCTAATTTCCAGTTACCTTGCATACATTTGATCAGGTCCAAATCTTGCTCTGAAAGCAGAACACAGATGCAAACATTGTCTTTGGGGCTGTCTTATTTCCTGCTTCAGTTGGCCCAGGTTCCAATCAGTAAACTGGACACTTACAGCTTGTTTACTTCTGATACCTTCACAGTGTAGTGTGTGAAAATGCAAACCTATAAACCTTCCTGATCTCTATTGGTTCTGTGTGGGTCTGAAGCAAGATACTAAGCATTCTGATCATCTCGGTTCCAATTTGTCATAATTTAAGAGAGTAGTATTCTCAGTAAAACCATATTCTTAGTGGATGGGCTGTGGTTCTCCTATGTCTTGTTGCTTCCAGTGTGTATAGTGCAGTATGTAATAGCCAGTCCTCTCTATAGGCTGTGCTATCAAATTATGGGTTATTGCCTTTTCTAGTTTCTGAGTTATTCTGCAGCTACATGCTGCAGTAGTACTATTTCTTTGGAAATGTGTATGTGCTCACTGAATGGTTTATGTTCTCTAGCGTAAGTGTATGTTTTTGTGAATGAAGACAGTGCACATCAGTTCTGTCCCCAAAGATAGCAGCTTGAGAAACAGGCATACTAAAGAATGATTCCCTGCTGACCTTTTGCAGCTCATCATTTAATGCTGAGGTGGCTGTTTACAAAAAGCAAAGAGGTCCCAAAGTTATGGGTAACTTTTTGTTGTGCTCATCTTTTTAAATCTATAAAATAATATTTTAATATTTAAAGCCATTAAAAGTTGGAATGCCATACTTTAAGTTATTTCTAAGCCTGAATCACTTTGTGATAACAATATTGTAGGGAATTCACCTTTTAATGGTGAATTTTAATTCGCCTTCTAAAAGTGAAACTTGTGTTGCTAGAATACAGTTTGAGCCCTGTCAAGAAAAGGATTTCATGAGTCACTAATGTGATTTGGAGGTCTCCTTGGTTTGTTTATATGGACGTGTGTTAAGTCAGTAGTTCTCTTTCGTTACTACTGTGCACAGCTGAAACAGACGTTTGGGGCAGTGGCCTCCCTGTGCATGGATGTGACAATTTTGAAGACTGATTTCTACAATGGGATAAATCTTCAGAAGTGGCAAAGATACTTTGGAGAAGGTGTCATTAAAACAGGATATGAATTGGCTCTCAATTGCTTGGATGTTCTTGACGGTATGTGCAGAATGGCAAAGCCATGATCGGTGGGGAAGTAATGGAGAGGGATGTGTAAGGGTTTAGTGCTGAAGCAGATTGAAGTCTTTGAGGTTCTGGAATGTGAAAATGGTGAATTGTGTTTCCAAAAAAGCTTAGAACTAGTTAGAATAATATGTAATGTTCATAACTATGCAGCTTAGCTTTTTTTTTTTCCTTATTTTCAGTGAACAAGTGAAGAATAGTACTGCTTGCTGTGAGGGGCTTTATGCTAAGAAACAGCAGTTCTGTTCTGTATTGCAGTTAGTACACAGCCTGTTCTTGTCAGCATGTTTCAGCAAGGTTTTTGCATTGTACACTTTGACAGCTTAAAACCTTCAACTGTTCATTCGTGTCAGATTTCAAAATTAATTACATGTTGGCGATAATGGAATCTTCTATGAAATTATCTCAGTGTGTCACAGGGAGGACAGTGTGGCATTGGTGCCTACTCCTGTGTCAGCTTCACTGATGTCATCTGCTCGAATATCCGTAGGTAACCCAAAGTAATGGGAGCAGATGGTGAATGGGCACTTCCTAAACTAAATCTGTCACAAAGAATTTTCTTGGTGAAAAGTATATTTCTTCCACTGTCAAATATTTGTATATCCTAGGGATTTATACAGTATTTATTATGTAGAAAGGTGGCTTAAATGCATCTCTTGTCAAAAGCTGTTGTCTTTGGAGAGGAGTTTAATGCTCAAGTCATTCCAGTCATTCTCAGAAGAGTCTCATACAAAGAACAGAGGGGAGAGGGATGATAGGTTTCATGCTTTTTTTTAACCAGTCTTACAAAGATTTTGGTGAAAATTCCTACTTAGTCCTTGTGGATGCAGGTCATTCTCTAGAGGGCTTTTTGTTGTGGATGCATGAAACCAGTGCTTTAATTATACTTTTTAAGGATACCTGGGTTTACTCTAACATGTAAGTAGTATTTAAGTAATCTGGAAAACAGATCTTGCAGCTTTCCTAGCACCAAAACTCTTAAGTTCCTTATCCATATCTCACTTCCTGTATCCAACTAACAGGAAAAAAGGGCATTTGGAGTGAAGAGGGTACAGTTGTGTTACAGGTTTTCACTCTTCAAGCATGACTGAGATCAGGGAAGTTAAAGCCATTCTTTGATCAACTAAATTTATTTTTCTTATTTTGCAGTTTGGACTGCCAGGGTCACTGATTTAAACATACCGATTGGTTTTTGTTTTAGTATTGAAAATGATCTGAGGAGAAGCTACTGTAGTGTTTTCAGAAAGTCAAGTTCTGATTTTACCATGTTCTTTACTATAGCTTGCTAAGCTGCCAGCTAATATTTCTGACATGGAATTCCAAGTTAATAATTACAAAATGAAACAGATGCTTACTTCCCCTCTGGCTCTGCAGGCCTGCTGTGTTTTAGACATCTGAACAAAGTCATCTACTTAGAAAGCCTGAGCAGTGATATAGGGTGCTCTGCCAATAGAATGGTAGATGGAAGGGTTAGGACATTGTCTATCGGTGTTGGTAAAGTCCAGTGTGTGATACAGGCAATGTGCAGTGTTGAACAACCTGAAGTTGCAGTAGTCATGCAAAAACATGGGTTGTGAATCACAGATGACACAACTGGCTTAACCTGTTCTTCACAGATATAACTATTTTCCTTTGCCCTTCAATATCAAACTATGTCAATTCAAGACTCTTCACCTACCTCTCAAGAATGCCATGATCCTTTCTTTTAAAATGAGCTTGTTTGTGTTCCTGGGTGTCCCAGTGTAACATGATGAACGTATCTCTAAATGTGCTAGCTGTTAATACTTACCGGAAATTTTTGAATTAGGAAACAAAATAAATCCTATATGCGAGAACTACCTTTTCAATGTTTCATTTTGCTGCTTAGTCATACATTGGTAATAAGAGTGTCTTTCCGTGACTGCATACGGCACCACCTCCCACCTCTTCACATTTGACTTCGGTTCCCAGAGCACTGTCGGTGCTAGTTCACTACTGCGGTGGAACTGAAGCATCTTGGAGTTGAGTATTTCGAAGGTGTTCGGCAGCTGTAACGGGCTCGGCTATCCTGGCAGAGGAGAATGGGAGGGGGTTCAGTCACTGAGGAGGTAGAAGGAGCCTCACCCCGGAGCTGCAGACACTGAGCTGTAAGTGTAAGCTGTTCACCCTCACCTGCAGCGCACGATCTCGGCGTTCAATGGGCTCAGTGAGGCCCGGTTCCCGCCGCTGCTTCCGGGGACGGGTTGAGTCTGGGTCCCGACCTCGCCGTTCCGCTTCCGGGTGACGGGCCGGCGGAGGCGCGGATGCTCTTCGGCTGCTCGGAGCGGGTGAGGCTGCGGCCGCCCAGGGGCTGCCCCGAGCAGGAGCCCCCGTCCTGCGGCGCTGCCCGTGGCTGCTGTGCGGCGGCCGGCGCCATCCGCCGGGTTCGGTGGGGGGGTAGGGGTGGGGGTACGGTCTGGGGCCCGGCTGTGGCAGCCGGCCCAGGCTCGGTCGGTGCCCAGTGCTGGCCCCGAGTTCCCGTGAGGTTTCCCGGGCGCGCCGTGGGGGGCGAGGAGCTGTTCGGAGACCGAGGGAAGGGACGGCGGGCAGTGTCAGCCTGTCCGTGTGGGTGCAGAGGCCTGTCGGTGTCGGCCCGGCAGGGACAAGGTTGCCTCCCTCCGTGTGCCGCATTGCTGGTCTGCTCGTTGTTGGTGCTTTGTGCTCTGACCTCCCGTATTGTTAGCGGGGGCTTGCGGAGCGATCTGTCAGTGCTGCTTGCTCTCACCGTGCAATGTACAATTAGGTCTCTAGTGTCTTTAGAGGTTTTTTTTTAGTAGTATTGTTTTGTTTTAAACGACAGCGAGCGCACAAGAGCAGTGGATGGTGAGGAGGGTGCCTGTCCTGTCCCGCCCCAGTAAGCCATGGCCTATCAGCTGTACAGGAACACCACGCTGGGGAACAGTCTGCAGGAGAGCCTGGATGAGCTCATACAGGTATGTGTGGGGCCCGGGTATGCAGTCAGCTTAATAGAGAGGCTTGTTACTCAAGCAGCTTTGTGGCTGGTATTGGGTACAGTACAGCCAACGGCTGGAAAACCTGAATGAAATCAAAAGCCTTTGCTACTCAGTTGTCCTGATAATTCCTTTTTTTTGACATCCTATATGAAGGAAAATGTTTTCCGTAGGATGCGTAACCTCCTCTTGTGATGCCCAGTGAACAAACATCAGGTTAATCCGGAACACTGTGACTGATGTTCTGCACCTCTGGTTGGTTTCAGTTGATATTTACCAGATGAATTCTTTGTGTAGCACAAAAATCACATTGACACCTAATTCCTTTTCTCAGATTTAAAACAGGGAAAAGGCAGTAAAATTATTCTTGTGTTGATTATCCTTCTGGAGATCATAGAATCATAGAATAGTTAGGGCTGGAAAGGGCCTTAAGATCATCCAGTTCCAACCCCTCTGCCATGGGCAGGGACACCTCGCACTAAACCATGTCACCCAAGCCTCCAGCCTGGCCTTGAACGCTGCCAGGGATGGAGCATTCCCGGCATCCTTGGGCAACCCATTCCAGTGCCTCACCAGCCTCACAGTCTGCTGCCTGGGAACTTTGTTTTGAATTTTTACAGCTTTTTTGAGTTTACTTTGAAGTAACGCTAACCTGTTTTTATAACAACTTCAGTCCCAGCAGATCACCCCTCAGCTGGCCCTTCAGGTGCTACTTCAGTTTGATAAAGCTATCAACTCGGCACTGGCACAGCGCGTCAGGAACAGGGTCAACTTCAGGGTAAGGTAACGCTATATATAAGTTCTTCATGGGGTGGAGTAACCAAGCTTTGGTGCAGAATGCCGTTAAAAGCTGAGCGCTCCAAGCGAAAGTTCAGGTCTGTCTTGACTCTGAAATAGTGAATGCTGACAGGTTTATTCTGTATGCAGTTGTGAGGCTTGTTATTCTCTTACTGTGCATTTGATCTTTCAAATGAATGCAAAGGCTATGGAGAGATTTGGTGGGTGGATGAAAACAGGGGAAGAGGGAAGTGCTTTGATGAGTAGCACTGCCATTCTTAGTGTCTTGCAGGTGGGAAGGGAGACTTGCTTCTCTTAGACCTAGCAGAAGTGAGATGAGGCCAGATTTTCAGCCACATCTGTAATGCAGAGAGACTACAGAGGTGTACATCTGCCCTTGTACAAGACAATGGTCATTTTGTAGCTATTTTCTGTAGGTATCAGGAAAAATAAAGTTTGTTTTTCTCAGCCAGCCACCCTAATGAATGCCAGATAGCCAGCACATTGTAAAATGTCAATTTGATTGTAATTTTAAAGAAAAATCCCAAACCAGTTGTTAAATTATGTCCTCAGCAGTTGATGCAGAATACATTAATGAAGTGAGCTCTTAAGATTTTTAGATATTTAAACCACACAAATATGTTAAAAAGAGCATAACTACTTTTTTGTAACCCCCTTATGTCACATGGGTCAGTTCTGTCATGATTTTTTTAAACTGGTTTTATTTGAAAATTGCAGAATTCCCATCTTGTTACAATTGCTGCTGTAACTGATTCTTTTTATGGCCAGTGTTTTAAGAAATTGTGTCTGATTCTGATCCTTTACACACATTAGAAAAGTTAGAAAACTCTTTAACATACGTGTGAAGCTTCTCCTAGGATAAACCGTAATGGTCTTGGAATGGTCTTGAGAATTTCAAGACCATAATGGTCTTGAGAATTTCAGCCACTGGAGGGCAGTTCTACTCAGAATTACTGCTTACTGAGTTTGCATGCATTCGTGTTCATTGTTGGCTTTATGGCAAGCCTAATGGTAGAAGGGATGTGGTTCAGTAAACATCATATTTCCTGTTACTTTTGGAATGCAGCCTACAGAAAATGTCTCTTGTCTCTTTAAAGGGGTCTCTGAATACATACAGGTTCTGTGACAACGTATGGACATTTGTACTGAATGACGTTGAATTTAGGGAGGTCACTGAACTTGTAAAAGTGGATAAAGTGAAAATTGTAGCATGTGATGGAAAAAGTAAGTATGGAATATGATATAAATAAACTGACACACAAGACTTGATCATTTATAGAAAGCTTTGACCAAATGTTTCATTAAAGCTAGGTTGATTGTATTATTCAGACAAAAGTAGTGCTATGCACTCCCTTCTACATATGATAAATGCAAGAAAATCAAGCTAAATGCTCCTTGACTCATAGGCACTGAAACGGGAACGTGTTAAGAGACTGCTGCAGACCTGGTGTTGGGAAGCATGAACTACTGGAAAAATTGGAAAGTTATAGCAGCCTTCCAGTATCTGAAGGGGGCCTGTAGGGATGCTGGGGAGGGACTCTTCATTAGGGACTGTGGTGATAGGACAAGGGGTAACGGGTTAAAACTTAAACAGGGGAAGTTTAGATTGGATATAAGGAGGAAATTCTTTCCTGTTAGGGTGGTGAGGCACTGGAATAGGTTGCCCAGGGAAGTTGTGAATGCTCCATCCCTGGCAGTGTTCAAGGCCAGGTTGGACGAGGCCTTGGGTGATATGGTTTAGTGTGAGGTGTCCCTGCCCATGGCAGAGGGGTTGGAACTATATGATCTTAAGGTCTTTTCCAACCCTAACTATTCTATGATTTTATGATTCTAAGTAATCTTCATTGAATTTCTGTAGGGAGATTTTTCTTGTATTAACCTGGTTGTGAGAAAAGCACCATGTTTTATTGAATTCAAGGAAAGCCTCTTCAGTCTGAGCAACCACTTGTCAGAGAAAACTAAGCAGTTGTCTGCTGGATTTGATCATAGAGGACATGACAAGTTTATGCCAGCATTTGCAAATAATACTAAAATATACTGCTCAACAGATCCACTGTATGTACACTGCTTATGGGAGTTTATGTCCCATATCTGCTTGGCTGGATTACCTTTGTCAGTGTTCCTTGAAATTCCTTACCAGAAGAAGTAATGTAATGACTTTTGTGGCAGGTTGGTTTACAACTTTTAAAACCATCCCTGTGGCAGAGTATCGCTAAAGATGTAGGAAATGGTGTCACCTGTTTCACCACTGGGCAGCGATGTGAAAAGGAAGAACTGAGAATGGAAAGGGCTTTATAAATATACTCTAGCCCTCTGAAACAGATTCCTCATGACTTCCTGGTACTGGCGTGACTACAAGTCATAGTTTTAAAGAATTGACAGAATTTATTGTTTGCTCAACTTTTGGTATTAGCCAAGCATATAATCTTACTCTGTTTATTTTTTGTGTGCCTATTATAGCTAGTAGAAGAAACCTTACTTTGCAAGTACTAACAGTTTTCACTCTTGATAAAGGATGCAAATCAGATTTAAAGAATGGGGTGATTTAAAGTTGCTGTTAACATTACAGCCGTTTTTCCCCACAAGCAGCTGACTTGCTAAGACACATCATAAACACTGACTTGTCTTTCTCCATATGTGTCATGTATTTTTCCCATAGCTCTAAGAACAAGAAAGCAGTGATGATAGTAATACCAGCAGTTGCACTGGTGTTAATTGGTGCTTCTGACAAAAATTCAGAACAGAGAATTGCTGAGTTATTTTATGAAGATCATGCTCATTCCTGCATCTATTTCAAGATGTGTAATGAACTATAACCCACACTCCATAGGAGCTTATGCTACTGGATGTGCAAACCCCTTTCTCTTTCATAGGCTGTGTGATTTAGCCAGATGTGCTTGTGGCCTTCCACAGTAAAATTGTTTGTGTATCGCTGCAAGTCAGAGTAGAGCTTATTGTATTTTTAATGCCTTAATAGCAAATGATGTGTGTGCACAACCTTGAAGTTTTGTGGTGGCTAACTGAATGTTGCTAACTGAAAGAGCTCAGGCAGCATGTCCACCACATCAATAGCAGTAGGGTAGGTACAGAACATGTCCTGAAATGCTTGGGGAAGGTATAAGAGAGTGAGTATTCTCTTTAAATTATACTCAACTGTAGTGGATGTATGTATTACTTACCCTTTGGTTTTTCTTTCCTAGACACTGGTTCCAATACTGCAGAATGAACAGGACTGGAATTTGTCTGCAACACTTCAATATGCAGCTCTTTCTGGAGAGAAGCATGGAGAGAGACTGTTCATTCTTAATTCTTGTGATGCAGATGTGAGTTAGTCCATGCTAGGAAGTCTCAGAATGACGGCAAAAGAAATACCTGTAGCATTTCTTCAGTTCACCCTATAGGGCATGAATACAATATTACTTTTGGGGTTTTCTTAAATTAGAACAGATACTGTTGGTTTGGTTTGGGTTTCTTTTTTTGTTCAAAGTAATTTCTGTAATAAATTTTTATTTAAAAAACTTGCGAATGAGTGATCATTGGAAAACTGTCTAAAGCCAATCATTAATATATTTGTTAAATTTTCTCAATATTGTCTAAGTGTGTTTAGAGTCATGTTGCTAATGCAGAGGTCATCCACTTACAGGGTTCTGAGTGCGGTTTCACTGGTAAGTATTGCAGGAAATGGCTGTTTCGGGATGGAGGAGGAGATCAACAAAAGCAACTGATGCTGGCCAGTATATTTGTCTGTTTGTTACTGCATCTTTCTATCTATAAATTTGCCCATTTGGTATTCTCAGCTAATAGTAATAATACAGTAACCCAAGTATTAAAGTTATTGCTCAGCTAATCAAATTGAAGTAATGAAACTGAGTCTCCTAAGATTGTTTTAGATCCTCAACAAATGTAGTGTTGCTTGGTTTATTGTTTTTCTAATTTTTAATTTATGTGGAATACATTTAGTGGGACACCTGGCCAACAGGATTTCAGGGAAGGAGCCGAGTTATGAATTTTTAGATATCAAATAGATAACTTTGTTCTTTTTAGACTTACACATTAAATAACTCCAATCAAGAAACCCTGAAAATAGTTTCTTCACTAGAAGTATGAATATAATATACTGACAGCTTGTTTGGCTGACCGGGACTGTTCCAGTGCGGTCATAGGAATGCCTGTTGCTTCAGTACTGTCAAATTCCATTTATTTTTGACACTAGGCTACTCAAAGACCACTAGAAACTGGAAACCATACAGAAGAAAAGTCAAGGGGTAACTGTTTTCAGATCAGTCTAAATCTTTAGTTTGTGATGAAAATGGAGCATAATTTTACATCTGAATTAATGAAATTAAACTTTCCTCTACATGTCAGTGGCCCAGTCAAATAATTAAAGTAATAAAGTTTTAGTGTCTCTCCTAATGCCTTTCCAGACTGACATGTTACAGTTCTCTAAATCCTACGTTTGGACATGAAACTATATATATCATGTTTGGTTATCTTCCGCTTCTCTCACTTCAAGTGAGAAAGGAGTTCACAAACTTGCTTGCAAGACTGTTCTAAGTATTGTGTTTACCATGAATTTTTTTTGGTCTTATATCTATGCCAAATGTCCCTCACTACAAACTGCAGGTTGGTAAGTAACCATTTTTGAAACCAGAACAACAGAGTTGCTCTCATTTGAACAGCACACGACCTATCTGTGGAGGCTGTTATCTTAAAGGATGTAAATGTATATCTGTGGTTTTCTCTTTTTCTACATCAGACTCAACCTTCTATGTTTACACACTTTTTGTTCTCTAATAATTATGTGGTAAGCTGAATTGCAGCCCTTGCAAGTATAAAAGTTTGTTCTGGCTCCAACTCTGCTGTTTCTTCCTCTCTCTGGACAGAAACTTCTCAATCTCCAGTTGTCTGTAGCCTTTGGACTCCCTCCCAGTGTAAATGATTATATATCTTATTTTGTTCCAATTAAGTTTGCATTAGCATATTTATTATAGCATTTTTCCATTAAAAGCAAATTTAATAGAGTAGCACAATTGTACTGATGATGTAAGGTTATTGTGTGGAATAGATTTATGTTAACGTTTCGTTTGTACTTCTCTATCAGACTTCTGTGTTTCAGCAGTCGCCTACTACTACTTCAGCGCTCCCAGCCTTAGTGCTGCCTTAGCTGTTAACTGAAAAAGAAAATAAGGTAATGAATATATATATATATATATACACACACACTAAGAAAAAATACAAATTAAAGGAAGAATGATTTTGTTGACAAAGATGTCTCCTACTTAGTAGTTGGTGAAATTCAGACCAATGTGAGCAGGAACCAGAAATGATTATGTTCATAATTTGGGACAACTTTACTGACTTGCTTAAAAAAAAAAAGCAGTGGTCTCATTGAAGCTCTAGATGCGGTCCTTTGGAAGGAGGTGATGGGATACTCCCTGTGCTGATGCATAACCATAACATTGAATTGTATACCCTACTTATGTGGTTCCTATTCAGTGTGAAAACAGATTTGACTATTGCCTTGCCTTGAAAGGAAGCATTTGAAAATGAGATGGACATTCTGAAATGGATGTAAATGCTCTGTACTGGAGTCTTACTGTACTGAAACTGCAAATGCTTAAGTGACACTGATGATCAGCTTGTTTTTCATCCTTAGTTAAGTGAGTGGCAAAAAGTGACACAGATGACATATATTAAAAATATATTAATATATGAAATAAAATATTATGGATGCTTCTGAACTATTCTAAGACTTTTCCTTTTGCTAATAGTAATGTAGTCTTAGAAGAAATACACAGCAACTCGAATGGCTGGGGATAGGAAACAATCTGTTCCTGGCCACAGTGATTGTGAAGGGACTGTGTGCCGGGGGAACCTGTGTGATTTAGTCTGTGTGGAAGGCTAGAGACCGTGCATAAATGGAGAGTAAGGGAATGTTTTAGGTGAAATAACATGAGTAAGAAAAAGTGGATATAAGACATGCTTCTGTAATGTAGACATTCCCTTCCTCTCAAGTTGAAAGTCTGAGAAAGCCTTTCACACAAAACAAGAAAAGTTATCAAACACAAACAGCAACTGAAGAAAAGGCAGACAAGAAGGTTCATGTACCCTGAACTTCTTGTATTGCTCTGCCTGGCTAATGATTGGTCGTATTAGAAGCTTTATTTCATAGCTGGTTAATGTTTTAGTATCACAGATTAAAGTTTTAGTTTATAGGCTAGCTCTGTTTGGTTATGCCAAATGCATTAAGCTGTTGTTCTGCAGACTAGTTTTCCACTCATGGCACAATCCTTAGAATCATAGAATAGAATAGTTAGGGTTGGAAAGGACCTTAAGATCATATAGTTCCAACCCCCCTGCCATGGGCAGGGACACCTCACACTAAACCACGTCACCCAAGGCTGTCCAGCCTGCCCTTGAATGCTGCAAGGGATGGAACATTCACAACTTCCCTGGGCAACCCATTCCAGTGCCTCACCACCCTAACAGTAAAGAATTTCTTCCTTATATCCAATCTAAACTTCTCCAGTTTAAGATTTAACCCATTACCTCTTGTCCTTTCACTACAGTCCCTAATGAAGAGTCCCTCCCCAGCATCCTTATAGGCCCCCTTCAGGTACTGGAAGGCTGCTATGAGGTCTCCATGCAGCCTTCTCTTCTCCAGGCTGAACAGCCCCAACTTAAAACATCCAACTTATAAACATCCTTGTTTTCCGTGTGCTCTGTATTTAATTTACGAAATACTTTCTTATGAGTTTGACTTACTGTTTCTAAAATGAGCTTACATACACATCTTCCATCTCCTTGTCTGTACAGTGTTAGGCAATGCAGGTATCTGGTATTTTTGCATATGTGGAATGTTTCTAAGGACATGGAATTCAAAGTTGGATGCAGACAGACTACTGAGTTTACCTGGGTACGTAAAGAATACTTGCACTTTTGTGATCAATGCTCTCTATTCAGCAAAATTGCTTTTAAACTCACCTGGCTTTAATTTATATTTTATTTCCAAGTGTTAACTTTGCCATCTCTTTAGAAAACAGCTCTTGAGGCATAGTGAGGTGCAAATAATTCTTGGGAATAACCTTTCTGATGTCTTGAATTGCTCCAATGATGCCTTGGAGAAAATCTGCTTTATGGGATGAAGACTGCTCACTGCAGGAGAAAAGCTCGCCTGTGCTTCTGGAGGAATTAATTCCTGCAAGCCTCAAGAGCTGTTTAACAGAAGCTTTGACACTAGCTTGGTAGCAAGTGTCACATTCTTTTTGGTTTTAACCACATTTTTTGGATGGTGTTTGTCCCAGCCCCAGATCTGCTACTTCTATGAAGGCTGTTTCAGTTCATCGAAGGAGAAGGGAGCAAAGAGAAGGTAAGGGGATCTGGTGCCATTATTCTTCCTGCTTTTTATTGCTTTGCTTTCCATAATTTTCTTGCCACTTGCTATTTTTTGTGTTTGAATTTCAGCTAATCCCTCCACATTCATATGTTTAATGTGCTTGGTGGTTTTGGAAGAGATGTTGAATTTACTTACACCTAAAAGTGTTAACTGCACTTTTATTATACTAAGCTATTTTAATATCCAGTGGAAGACAAATCATCTTGCTTGTTTACAGCATCAGCATACTTGATGCTGCCTGTTTGGTCCTTCCTTGCCTGTAGTGGTATGGACTGACTCATTCATTTGGGGATTTTTGTTGGTTTTTTTTCTTCAGAAAGGTCCCAGTTACTTCCACCCATCAGTAGCAGAACGTAAAAGATACCTTTGCACCTTGAACTTAAGCTAGAGTGGATGCTTCTATTTAGAAAGTAAATTGGCTAGAAGAAGGTGAAGAAAAGGAAATAAACACCAGTACAGAGGTGGCTGTGAGTGACTGCCTGTGTTTAAACATGGCTTCTGAGAAAAAGGGTTCTGTGAATTCCACAAGTGTGCAAAACCAGATGTTATCTGAAGCAAGCTGTTTGCTCATTCAGGGATGTCAACACCTGACTTTAAATGTTATCAGAGAGACACAAATTAAAGGAAAGTGTGGAGCAGGAAGGACTTGAGATGAATTCCCAGAAGACAAGTTTAATCAGGATCATTATGTACTTTTACACAATGACTAGGTACCATGAGGTAGATGAGAGTTACTCGAAACACAGATACTAAGGATCTCAGCAGCTTAGAGGATAGTGTATCAGTCAAGGTGTTAGTGACTTGGTTTTGCTTTCCTGTACTCCAGATGTTCCAGGGGCAGGGAGCAGGAACATGATAAAAAGCATTTTAACTTTATTAAGCTGTACTGACAGATGTGGACTTTTTCTTCACTGTAACTTAAAGGGTGATCTTAGGAAAATAGCTTTGCTGAAAGATAAATTTACTGTATAAATAAGTTCTTGCGGCTTAATAGGTTTTAAGTCACAAATCTATTAATATTTTGATTTTTGCCTTCTGCTAAAAGAGCCTGCGCCCTTCAAGGAAGTGGAAAATAGTTCACTGAGAGTCTAGTTAATGTTTCATGGTTAGTGCTGATGCATTCAGAAGGAGAAGAACACCCCTAACCCTGTTCCCTGAATCAATTTTACTCTTGGCTGCAAGTACTTTACTGATGTTTTGCTCTATAGGTCATGTTTGCTTCTAGTTTTTCAGAATTTATTCCCGGCTATCCTCTGAGTTTATTTCAATTGACTCATCCCTTTAGAGACTTCAGAGATGATCACGTATGAAAGAAATGCAAAGCAGCCAGGAAACAGACCTTCCCATCTGGAGTTAAGAGCTGTTCATGGACCCATCTACATTTAAATACCTATTATATCAGTTTCAGCTCCCATTAGGTTGTTCTTGTAAAAGTAAAGGAAAAACCACTTGAAAATAAAATATAAATTAAAGCCAGGTGAGTTTAAAAGCAATTATTTGATTTCAGAATTATAGTTTCAACTTCCTCCTGTGCATGTTGTGAAAGATAAATGTCAACTTGCAGTATATTTCCTCCTTGAACAACTGGGAGCTTGTAAAAAATTCAGGTTGCTAGTTAACAACTGGTTGTAGACAAAGGTGTCAGAAGTAGATTTTTTATCTAGTTTTCAATGGAAAAAAAAAGGTTTTATTGTGGTTGTGTGTTTTTGTGGTTTTGTTTGTTTGTTTTTTAAATCATAGTAGTTTTATCACTGGATAAATTTAACACTAATGTTTCTGATATGACTATTTCCATTTTGGATAGCCCAAGATGTTACTGATTAAGCCTATATGGGGTTTAACCTATTGTTTGGAGGTGATCCTATATTGTGATATGCCAGTGCTACTTTTGGCTAAAGCTTGTCTTGCTTTATTTGAAGGTTGTTCTTTTTTCAGTTCTGCAGCTAACTTGGGCAAATTCCATCCTATCTTTGTGCCCTGTTGCCAGTTTTCTGAGATGCTAACTATCTTAGTTCTAAGATGCTTTGAGATCTCTGGAATACAATGTTCTCAGAGTCGAGTGACATTTTTTTGTTGTCATTTGAAATGGTAAGGAAACATAGGTTTTTGTTTTTTTTTTTTTCTTTTCTGTATTGCTGCTTTGACATGTGACTGTACTCATAAACCTGACATTCCTCATGTCTTTGGAAGAGGAATTGCTGAGAGTATTCCTTTGTAACAAACTTTTTGTCTTAGTTCACCTTCTGAGTTTGTTCTTTCAGAAGAAACTAAGTCACTACTAAAAGAAGAGGGTGAATTGAAAATAAACTTGCACAAAGATACACCTTTGGTTTTGGAAACAAATAATCTGAGATAAATCGTGGGTAACAGCACCAACAGAAACTGAAAATTTTCTTTGAATCAAAATTGTTGAAGTTTACAAATTGTTTGCATCTCCAGATAATGCCAGAATTTGTTTTCATACAAATCGGTGATCTCTGAATGGAGAAGGCCGCATAGGCTATGTTCTTAGGTAACTGCTGTCCCTCTAGTGTGTTGCCAAGCTGTTTTTTTTTTGTTACACTGGTTTCACTTGAGACCTTCCTGTTCTATAGGCAAGCTCTTTCAAAAGTGCATAAATGTCTAACCAGGAAGAGCATAGATTTCAACATGTAACATTAAAAAAAAAAAAAAATTTACTTTGGCTTTGCCAGAGACTTACGGTGGAACAGATTTGAAGGGGTGTCTTTGTTTTCCCTAGAACTAAGTATTTTTGTCTGTCTCTCCATTGTAACCTTTTTGGTCAGGCAGTGTCTGTCAATAACAGAAGAAACACTGTTATTTAAATAGTATGTACAAGCAATACTTTGTATTTCTGAGAGAAGAAACAGCTGAAGAATTAAACATACAGAGTGAAGGGAACAAAAACTGTTAACACATCTGTATGTAATTTGTAAGTATCTGTCTTTCTTTACAGGTGCTTTTGTAAAATAATAAGGTGCCTCTTTTCAACAGTGTTTCACTATTTCAGGCTGGGATTCTTTCCACCCCCCAAACACCTTTCTGCTTTCTGTAGGTGATCAGAAGGAAATTATTTAGATATTGCCAACATCCATTTCATGGATGAGTTTGCTTTTGATGCAGTTCCTTGCAATAGGAATAGAGGAGTATGGGTTATTTCTTGTTTTGTTTTGTGTTTTTTTGGTTTCTCCCCCCCCCCCCCCGCATGAACATGTACCTTTTTGCTCCATTTTCCAATGGAAAAAAACACTACTCTGCCATAGTCAGAAACACACTGACCCTGCTCTGCCTCATTTAGTCCAGAAGCTTGAATGTATTCCAGTCCCCCAATGAACCACTGGCAGTAGTTTACCATTTGGGGCTAATATGTATTAATATAAAGTAAATGAAAGAGCTCCAACAGGCATAATCAGATTAGGCAGCAGTGGTTAGATGCAGCTTTCTATGTTGGGAGACTTGAATTCTTACCCTGAGTCAGCAGAGTTTTGTTTGTTCTAAAAGAATGTACTGGACATGGAGATATTTGCTATTTCATGTTGAATTTGCTGCTGAAACCATTTTTAAATTCTCTATGTTGCTATCAGGTTAGCATAAAGCTTCCATCTCTGTTGTAACAAACGTCTGTTCACTTTACAAACATTTACATTAACAGAAGTGCGGAAGAGCTTCCCACTGGGACCAGCAATCCTATTACTTCATTTGCTCTTTTTGAATGAACAAATGCTCAAGTGATGCCTGGGAGCTTCTCTTGCCAGCAGTTGGAGGTTTTGCCTATTTTTGCTGTGAAGTCACCATATTTTAAGAATTGGAATTTCCCAACCAAGTTTACGATGTCTAAACCCTTGCAATAACGCACCTTTTACATCAGTTACTTCCTCTTCTCATCCTATTTAAATAGTTGTTTTAAATATCTGTGTGACTGCAGTTGTAACTTCACCTAAATGTAGCCTCATGCTACAGCATTGCTTCAGGTGCTATTCTGTATAAATCATTATATATTCCAAATTTCCCACCAGAGACCTTGAATTTATGAAGGTGTCTTCTGACAAAAGGGGGGGGGTGGGTGGGTGGTGGTAGTACAAAGACGACTGAATTAATCCCTCAGCATTAATAGGTAGTGAAAACCTTTTGGACCCATGGAAAGTGCCTGGCTTTAATATGAGAAGGTGGGAAAAATACATGCAGGTGAAATACAGATGTTCACAAATCTTTCTTTCAGCTTCTAGAAACTTTGAGAAACAACAATGTATTGGATGACTGGTTTGTTCATCTGAAAGGCCAGACACACCACTGGATATGGCAATTACATTACTAACTGCCTAGCAAAAGTCTCTTTCTTTGGAAGAGGAATATGACGGAAAGCTGTTGGTTTGCACACCATAACCTACACAATCTCTCTGCCCCCCCCGCTTCTGCACCTGTAACACCGGGGCAGGCATGTTCAATCGGTTTAATGGCTCTGCCTAGAACACAACCCGTTCTCCTCAGAGGAGGACAGGACACACAATGCCAAGGAACCATCTATTTACTGTATTTTGGTTTATTGAAGGATTTTTAATAGTATTGGCAGACTAGACTTTAAGGCAGTACAAAAGCAGCTGCCAGCTGTTTGGCTCAGCCGTGCAGCAGGTGCGGTGTAGAAAACCAATTACCATTTTAGTTTCAGCTACGGTTGTAGCGGGACCCGGAGTCTCCGCGGCCCGTGCCCTGGCCCCGCCTGCCCGCAGGCTGTGTGAGGAGAACAGGACACCGTGCGGCTCGGTGCGCGGCCCCTGTCCCTCGGTCCAGGGTCCCTGGGCGCCCGGCCCGTCCCGTCCCGTCCCGACCGTCAGTTACCGCGCTCGGCCGCTCCCCGTCTCCTCGGGGGACCGCCGTGTGAGGAGACCCTTCCGCCAGCGCGGGTGACGCGCCCGCGCCCCTCTCGCCTCACGACGCGACGCTCCCGCCTACGGCGCGGCCCCTGAGGCTCCGCCGCTGGACGCGCCTGCGGAAGGAGACAGGTGCTGGCGAGGGTGAGGCGGCTCCCCTCAGAGCCCCCTGCCGTAGAGGGCCCTGTGCCGCAGGTGCTCCTCCAGACACTGGATAGCGGCGTCGTCCACCAAGGGGTCGAACTTGTTGGCCAAGAGGTGGTGCTGCTGGAGCATCCAGGGCAGGTCGCCCACCCCGTAGATACAGACGGCGCGCTGGTGTCGGCCGGTGCAGGGCGGGTAGGGAGCGCCCTTGCTGGTGTCCCCCTCCAGGTACTCCCACTTGACCAGGCGGGGCAGGGCGTTCATGTCCGAGAGCTGGAACTTGTCGTTCGGCGGCATGGCGCCGGGCACACCGGGCACACGGTTGAGCGTGGCCCAGACGTGCTCGTCAGGGCTGTAGGTGTCCTTGGCCCACTCGAGGAACTGCTGCGCCGCGGGGTCCTCGAAGATGTGCTGCACGAAGGCGCGGGTGACCACGACGTACGCGTTGCCCGTGAACATGCGGTAGTCGTGGGGCGGCGGCAGTTTCTCGGTGGCTGTCCGCGAGATGACCTGCCCCACCTCGTGGTGGTACTGCCAGCGCTCCCGCTTGAGCGCCGACGGCTTCTCCGACTCCATGCTGTTCCGCCCCTGCAGCACCTTCAGGGCACGCACAATCTCGGCGTTAGTCTTGATGGGGAAATCGGTGCCGCAGGTGTTGAGGACGTAGTGCCAGGGCATGGGGCTCTGCAACAGGTCCTGCATGCAGTTGAGGTCGGCCTGCAGCCGCGACCAGGAGGCATAGACGACGTCTTCCAGGCGGCTCGCCACAAAGACGTTGGGGAAGCAGGCTACGATGGCCCGCACGGCTTCCTGGAAGGCGGCTGGGGACTTGTTGTCAATGTGGACGCAGTAGACGTTCTGGGGGGCATAGAGGGACCGCAGGAGCCGCTCGAACATCTCGATTTTGTCATGGATGACCATGGAGTAGGCGATGGGGAACTCTTCCTCTTCCTGGCTCAGCGGGAACTCGATGAACCGCCGGCTCTCCTTGAAGGCACTGCAGTCCTTGGCCATGTCCAGGTACTGCCCCGGCGTCAGGGAAGCCCTTCTGTTGGCGACCTCCAGGTTGCTGAGCTGTGCCTCCTGGATGGCCCGCACGTCCCCGCGGACCACCCCCGAGCAGTTGATCCTCCTGCCGGGGGACAGCTCCAGCGCTCGGTACAGGCGCTGGCGGCAGCGCGGGTGCCCGGCGGGGCAGGGCCGGGTGGCGCCGCGCAGCGCCAGGGCGGCGGCCAGGAGCAGCGACCCGAGCAGCACCGCAGCGTCGAGCAAGCCACGCCACGGGGAGGAGGAGACTTCCTTTTATTCGCCTGCTATTCAACTGCGGGGACCCGAGATCGCCCTGCCACTGCTCGGACCACCACGCAGGGAAGGCAGGTAGCCGGGGTGACTCGCGCGGCGGAGTCACCCCGGTACCTGCTTCCTGCGTGGTGGTGAGCAGTGGCAGGGCGATCTCGGCGTACCCGCAGTTGAATAGCAGGCGAATAAAAGGAAGTCTCCTCCCTCCCCGTGGCGTGGCTGTTTGGCTTTATCGACGCTGCAGGTGGTTGTGTATCTTCTACGTCTGTTTGAAAGAAGGTATTTCATCTTACCCTTCCTTGTCCAGCGTGTAACACAAGGAAACTTCCTCTAGAATGCAGCCCCATGTAATGCTTTCTAAAGACTTTACTAGATGACGTTAGGACCTAACCTGTTCAGATCACTCCAGTTTGCAGGTCAAGGGGGTGGCAGCAGTAGTGCCGCAGTGTAGAAGCCCAGCTGCAGCAGGCTCTCTGCTGGCCTGGAGCTTTTTGAGCTTTGGTGAAGAATTACTGCACAAGACTTTGGATAACTGATCAAAGTAGAATCTCTGTTTCTACATTGGAAGCAGAGGGTGAAGACAGAGACCATGGTTTATAAATAATTTACCACAAAGTGTCCTCTTGAAGGAGTGAAAGAATATAGGAGGGGCGTCAGGACCTCTTACATATACCTACATAGACATCCTGGCTGACTATCACTTAATAGAAAAAGAGGGTTTAGCCACTGTGGGTGGCTAAAATACACCTTGTGTCATGAAAAACAAAATAACATCCTCTAAGTTGTAGTCCTGAACTACTTTGTAGTTTGAATCAAACCTGGTGTTTGGTACCATGTTTGTAAAGGGGCGCTTTTCTTAACAGTTTCAGTGATGACTCAACATTTCTAAGATGGGTGTTCTAAGACAAACAAAGGTTTTATTTTTTTCCCTCCTTTCTCCAGATGTACCAAGGAGCCAAACTCACAGAATCTGTAGCTGGACTGAGGACTGTTGATGGAATTAGAACTCTGCACAGGTTCTAGAAAACAGCAGCAGTTACTTCCTCAATTTCAAACCTGAGATTGTTTGTTGAGGTATCAGCTTTACCCAGTTTAGCAAATAATTGTCTTAGATGCTGTCCAGAAATTCTAATGGACATTATGAAATGCAGTGATATGATACACATGGTATTGGTCATAGACACAGCTGTCAGTTTGCCTGGGCTAAGTACCAAAGTGAATGTGCTTGAGAGAAACATGGGGAAAAAGGCTTACATAAAAAGATAAGATGTGGCAGTAGATTGCAGTATAAGAGGAGGATGATTCAATCATATTTAGATAAAAATCTTGCAGAACACTGTGAGAAGTTGCATTACGTCATATTGTGAGGTGTCCCTGCCCATGGCAGGGGGGTTGGAACTTGATGATCTTAAGGTCCTTTCCAACCCTAACTATTCTATGATTCTATTGTGGTATGCTTTTTGCAGAAACTTAGAACAGCCCACAAGCCTCTAAAGTTAGTTGTATATGAAATGGCAAAAAGGAATGCTATAGCGAGGAGTTCAGGTGCTTGGCAGTTATGGCTGTGGTTTAAACATCACTGTGCTGTCATGAAACAGGCTGGTGAATGAATTTTGTTCGTTTCCAGAATTTCTCTGTCGATACTGAAGAGTGCTGTGTGAGGACTCTCAGTTAAAACAGCTTTGGTAAGTCTAGGTGCCACATGTTTCTAGTGCCTTTTTGTACTTGCTTCCATTTTAATGTGCCATATCAAGTCATAAGTTCCTGGTTTTTAGCTTTCCTGTTAAATCCTCACAGGGTGACCTGTTACCTACTTGCCTGATTGCACAATTTTACATTGTGTTTCAGATAAATGCATTGAAGAGTGGAGAAGAAACATGTGTTGTGTTTGCTTCTCCAAGGGGGGAAAAATTACTGTGTGATTGTTTGGGGATGGTGCTGCACCTGGTAGAAATTTAGATTCTGATGGCAAGGCTCATAGTCTTAGTGGTGCAGTTAGCTTATAGAAAGAAAGGGGTTTTCCCTGGGAAAGCAGCATTAACAAAGAAGTACAAACAGAACTGAGTTGGAGGAATCAGTCTGAAGTCATGGTTACTAAAATGTGTAAGGCAAGAATTTTTCTGTATGTAAATATACTGCCAGCTTCTTTACCTAATCAGACATCCGAGACCAGGCTTGTTCATGCTACAAAAAAATCTTGTGTTCTACTCTTTTGCTTGGATGAGCTGAGAATTTTGTTAGCTTATTTTTAGCTGCTTCTTGGTCACAAGTGGTTTGATAGTACTTTTAAAATTAGTATTTGATGCAGTATGTTACAGACCAGCCAGTGAGGATTTTGAAGGATTCTGCCTCTAAGCAATAACACCACTTTTAAGCTATCAGGGCAGTGTTGTCTTTATCATTCTGCTTCTTCTGTATTTTATATCCTCTTAGTTGTCAGAAGAGGGTTTTATTTACTGGTGTAGTGTGTATTGTCATGTAGTTTCTCCTACGTTGGTTGACTGCTTTGTAGGCGTTACTAGCTCACAGTTAAGTTCTGTGTTCTCCAGGACTTTGTGTCAACAGGAGGAATTTTATGTTCTCAGCACAATGACTGTTATTTAACCTTTGTGTTTGACAGTTATTTTTATGTGTCATCTAGATAGTAAAGCTTTAAATAAAAGGAAGTAAATGCATGAGGCAGTTATAATCAGAAAGCAATGCAATACACTTGCTTTGCTCCCTGTTCCAGTGCATGTCCTCTCCACAGGCTACAGTCCTTCAGGATAAACCTGCTCCACTGTGGGTTCTCCACAGGCACCACTTTCTGTCAGGAAACCTGCTCCTATCTCGGCTTCTCTCCAGTGGCCTCAGCTTCCTTCAGGGCTGCACCCCCTGTTCTTCATTGGCCTTGGTGTCAGCAGGGTTGGTTGTCACTCTTTCTCTACTCTGTCAGCTGTTGAGCAGCTTTTCTTTTTAATCCTTTTCTGAAACATGTTTACGCAGAGGTGCTGACAGATTCACTATCTGGCTCAGTTTTTTACGTCTGGCATGGGGCAGCTTCTGGTCTCTTGTCACAAAAGCCCTCTCTGCCTCCTTAAAAAATCATTGACACATTAACCCAACAGATGAGCCTTTGTAACTTGATCCCCTTATACTGATGACAGGGGTACAGTTTGCAGAGTTGAGTGACAAAAGGCTGACTTAAATAAGGAAAAGGTTGGGTGTGGTTTCTTTGGCTTTTGGTTTTCCCTTATTTCCTCTCCCAGCTTCAGCTGGCTATATACTTGCACAGAGGGGCTGATGGCTCTAGTCTTTTGGAGTCCACTAGTATATTTTACAGTTATCATATGATTTATGATATAGTTAAAATGCCAAAGAAATATAGTTGATTATCCATCATTTGCAGGTAACGTAGACCCCTGGAGAATCAGCTTGCTAGTCCAAAGTTGTATGGAATAGTTATGTAAGAAATACCTACTGGCATAAGGATTGTAAAATTACTTTGCAGGCCCACACCTAGAAATACTTAGGGAGGGCTCTGATTTTTCCAGTAACATTTTGGGTATGTAATGAGTATCATTAAACAAAATCACTGATACTCTCACTGACTGCTACTTAAGCAAAGCTGTTCCTAAATATTAATAATTTCCTATCAAGTACACACCTTGTGTTAAAATGCAGTATTCTGTTGTGAAGAACTGCATTTCACTCTATATGTGTGTATTCACAGAGGGAATTTTCTTACTTGTGTCAAGTAGAAATGGATATTTTCCAAAAGAACTGTTCTTTTTTTTTTTTTTTTTTTTAAAATCAATACTTCCCTTGAAGTATGCTGGCAAGAAATCAGATTTCCATCTTCCTCTCTGTTCAGATCTTTTTTTGCTGACTGCGCTTGTATTGTGATAGCTAAAAAATCAGAGAATTGTATTTGGCTTATAATTTTATGAGTGATAGTTTTAAAATTACTGACAAACATTTGGAAAACATGATGATAAAGTTCCCACTATGTATCTTCAGAGACTAAAAGTTTGGTCTTTATTTTCTATGGAGTCTTTTGCACATACTGCTTTCAGGTGTGCATGTGGGATGTGAACAAAGAAGTCTCGAGGTTTCAAAATAAACATAACAAGCCTTATGCAAACATGTATGTATTATACGTGTACTCTATGTGTAAAACTTTAATTTGATGAACACAGTATTGTGCAGGTTTTTCTTTTTGAAATGGAAAACTCTGTTATTACAGACTTCAGCTTTGGTTTTCCTTCCATTTAATTTCAACTGAATTATGTGGCTCAGTCCTGTGCACTCTGTAACAGGTTGCCCAGTATCTTTACAAGCTACTAATACTGCATTTGGACCAGCATCATCTTTGGTCATCTTGATGACTAATTAGAAATTAAGTCAATTTTTCTTTTTTAGAGTTTTACTTCATGGCTGGTTTGTGACAAATGGTTTGAAAGTGCTCTATGGAGTACCTCTGGGTCTGCCACTTCATGGATGAGATTCAGAAAGAACATGAAAAGGCAGCATACAGTAAGTAAAAAAAATCGAAACAGACATTTTTGTAGCATGCATATCAGTTCCTATTTAACTGCTCAGTGCTAATCACCTAACAGTTGCAGGCTTGTTGCTCTGTTGTTTCTGGACCTCTGTGGAAGTCTCACTGGAAGAGAGAAGGATTGCTGCTTTTATCCAAGGCAAAACAGCCGGACTGAATGGAGTAACAGTGAGTATGGCTTTGAAGGAAGCTTAAGCAGATAGTCGTAACTGACACATAGTTAACAGGATGCCATTTATTACCTGATGTTTTACATGAAAGCTGAACTCTGCTAATAAGGTAGGATGAGTTTCCTAAATCCCAGTATGTATAATACAGCAAAACAGGGTGATAAGGCGTTACTCACCTTACGCAGATGCTGAAGAGACAGGCATATAAGCGGGACAGTGCTGGTACAGGTGTTTAAAAATAGTTT